GGCATTGCGCAGGAATTGATTGCAGCGAAACCCGCGGATCTACTCAGTGCGGAACTTGGCCTTTTCCAATTTTTTGTTCATGGTCCGGTTGCAAAATATCAGGAGTGGGGCCCAAACAAATATCATGATGCAAGTGGGGTTTGACATGTTTGCAACCAACATTTTTTTTGGCAATCCGTGTTGGATGTTTTCATCTCGCGGTAAACGAGAGACTCACCCTGTCATTACATTACTTTCAGACATGGTGACACGGTGTGACACATTGCAGGCAAATGGTTCCAAATGGTATCAATGCTTTCAGATCTTTCAGGCACTTACTTCCGAAAAGCACTGCCTTTTCATCCTGATGTGGCAGAGGACAGGGAGAAGGCAACGTGCCGGTACCATTTAGGTTGAAAAAACATCACACGGAAAAACATGTTATTTGCAAGACGATTTATGTTGGTGTGTGTGTAGCATCACACGTATATTGATATTTGCATCAATGTGTTGTACGTGTGTTTGTGCCCGTATTTAGATATGTCTGTGTGTATTATATAAATGTACGTATGTATAGGTATGCAAAAAATTAAAGTCGAGGTTGGTGTATACAGCATACAAAATATAAGCAATGGAACATACTGTCATTCATGAATTTTGCATGAAATAAACACCAATTATGGTATTGGAGAACAAACCAACCACTGTATTATGAAAATTTCTGCTACTTACCACTTACTACGGTATCTATGTTTAGTCAGTTGATCAAACAATGTGGATCGTATTACAACCGATTTACATACATCTCTAAATACGTATGCCGTCACACTGGACACAACACCTCCTTTACATAGTTGCAATGTTTTGTCACATTGATATCCAATTGATATCCAATTGATATCCAATTGATATCCAATTGATATCCAATTGATATCGAATATCCAAGTGATATCCATTTGATATCCAAGAGATATCCAATTGATATCCAATTGATATCCAATTGATATCCAATTGATATCCAATTGAGACCCAATTGATATCCAATTGATATCCAACTGATATCCAATTGATACACAATTGATATCAAAGATCACTGTAATTGTGATTAAATTGACTGTAATTATTGAGCTCGTTGAACGTGAAATGAACCCAGGCGTCCCAACGTTTCTGGCAGCTCTCAGAGGTACCACAGCTCTGCACTTACTTTGCTTTCCAAGAGGTTAACAACAGGGCAAAATGAGATCAAACAACTCAATGATGAAGAGAATTAAACATTAACATTCAAATCATCATGGAGAGATGAAATTAAAAATAAAAATGGTTGAACGAAGTCAATTATGTTGAAGCACTTTATGAACCCTATTTTGGCCTGGGATGGCATACGATCAAGTAATTTCTTTGGCAGTTGAAGGATTTTAATCTGGGTTCTGGCACTATTCGCTCCAAGCTGCCTCTAGCACAGAGAGTGTGTAGCAATGGTTTTTCCTATAGTATCTTTGCCATTGCTGGAGGAAATCTGGTATCGTTATTGACTTTGTCGAAGCTTCGGAAGCTTCCAAAAATACCGCAGGCTTATTGGCGTTTGGCTGCTGGTTCTTCTGTGGTGCCGCAGGAGACCCATTGTAGACGTACGTAAGACTTTGCGGGGACGGGTAACGAGTACGAACAACTCCAAAAGACTGGAAGGCCTCGAAGGCTTCCAAACATGTCTTCCTGTCTTCCCAAAAAGAAGGATTGCATGCTGTGAATCCTGTCACTACCATTGGTCTACTGTAGGTTTGCAAAATTTGTCGGATGTTTCACTTCTTCAGGACTTTTCAGAGCAAGCCATCCTTGAACTTTGGCTTCGCGAGTTTGCCTTTGAGGACAGTTTCTTTGAACTTTTTTCGCTAGGAGAAAACTGGTCAGCAATGATATTTGAGGCCATCACTCTTGGCAGCAGCATGGCAAATGGCAAATGTCTTGTCAATTTGAAGGAGTCAGGGCTAGAACTCCCAGCCTTGATTGCCAAAGAACTCCAGATGTCCACTGCATTGGAAAGCTGCTCGGTCCGGTAATATATCAAGGCCGTTCTTTGTTGGGCGTTTCCATTTCAGCCAAACCTTTCCGTCTATAGGATCTAAGAACCCCTGGATTTTTGTGTGGTTTGTTGTTGGACCTAGATTCGCAAACACGAAATCATGCATTCTGCGTTTTCTTGTCGTTTATGGAATTTTCCTTTTCTCCATGAAACATTGGTTATTGATTTTGGGACAGCTTGCGCAGTGGTCTGTTTCAGGCTTGCTCTTTAGAGAGTTCTATGTCTAGCACCATGGATCACGTTGGCGACATAAAACATGCGGCTGAGAAGTTGTGAGCTAACAAGATCCTCAATCTTCCAGTGCCCAAGCCACTTGCAGAGGGAACAGACAGTGTTACAATGAGTGCCCTATCAGAGTGCTGACACTAACACATCCGTAAAGATTGGGAGGGGAGCGTAACCATATAGCGACATATAGAAGTGTCGACAGGGAACAAAATGAAACCCCTTTCTTTGATCAAGAGAGAAATTGGTTCATATTTGGGGACACAAGTTCAAGCGCTCCAGGGGAACAGCGGCACTACGAGGTACGTGCTGCACCTTGTTTTGGTAGCTTGAAAGAGACCTTCGTGGCATTGATTCGAATCAGTTGTCTGTTTGCCATAGTCAAGCTATGTCAAGCTGACAAAGCATACAAAGCTTTCCCTCCTTCTCCGTCCTTTTGAATATCAAACAGTCAAACACATTTCTACTGGTTCCATTTGACGCCAAGTTTAGAACAGGAACGAGCCAACTTATTTGCGACAAATGCGACAAGCAGGTGTTTATCCTTGGACAACGATCTCCCTGTATGCTGCACCAATCATGAAGCACAATCAGCGAGATGCTGCGATGCTTCAAGTCACCCGAATGGCACTGCTTGCACCAGGCCTGTACCCTCGCTCGAGGGCTGATCCCTGGTGAACGTCTTCAGTGCGCAATCTGCGGCTTCCAGGTCCCCAGAACAATTTTTTAACATCATTTTTAACATCAAATCTTTCAATTGTTTGTGGGAAAATGTGGAAACCCAAAAGTATGCAGACAGAGACGGCCAAATTGACGAGGTGTGTCGCTGCGTTCCTAGCTCTTCACACAAGCCGTGGTCGTGAAGTTGCTGTGATTGGGAGCCAACAAAAGATCCATGATCGATGCGGCACTTTGCAAGCCAAGCCAAACTCAAGACCAAGAGAGCTCATGTCATTTGCATTCTGATATGGGACATGGCAATCGTGGAAGCATTGAAGAAAACAGTAGAGGTGTGTTGGTACTTCTCAACTTTTCTGGAGGTCCGTTACCACGAGCAGATGCGGGAACATATGGGAGAGCACGAGGCACATGGGACTGACAACTTACTGTAACTTCAAACAAGACCAAACTGGATTAAATACGACAGGATGGTAGATGTAAGAGCATGTCCTTTGCATTCCAAGTCTTGAAGAGATGATCGTGGCAGCTGGTATTGGAGTGCGAAAGAATATGTGTTGCAAGGTTGCAATCCATCACTATGATCAGACTACCAGATGATTTTTTTCTGCCAAATTCTCTTCTGTGCTTCCTAAGTCGTTGTGGACGAAACTGAGGGACTCCGTGGCTTTTGGGCAGATCGAGCAGTGCGGCTCTCGCGATGGGTCAGTGAAAGCAAGCATCTTCAGACTCCTTGGGTGGGCACAAAAATCGAGCGTGTCTAAGACCAACAAATCCTTTTTGACAACAGGAAACAAAGTCTTTTTCCTTGCAGAGAGCCATTCATAAGGTACTCAAGAAGTCTTGCTGTGGAATGTGATCATCCTCAGCATTGTTGCTCTGACTGTTTCTGACGGCCTGACAGATCAAACTCTCTACCCAGTCACTTGGCCGAGCAGGCAAACCGTCCGTCGTGCACAAACTGCGGGAAAGGGGGTATGAATCGGTATGAAACTATAGTGAGAGAAAGGGTCTCGTGTCCTTGGCAGCGGTGTGCTAAGCATATCTTTGGTGACATCAAAGCATTGGCAACCTTGGAAGACCAAAGAGTGTGAAGAAAAAATCCTGGGTCGCAATCGACAGGTCGTGAGCTGCATTGACCATATAGGGTCAACAAACAACTGTGTAAAGTCATATGCCATATGCCATACGGTTCTCAAAAGCTTCGCTGTCTAGGACATGCAGTCATTTGCCCAGTTTTTCCCCAGATAGCTGGCAAGCTATAGGGGTTCTTACTTCTCAAAGGTGGGGTCTTCGGTGGCGAACTTTTGAGCCTGCGTGCTGTCCAGACTGCGGTGGCGAAGTCTGGAAAAGGTGCTGTGCAGGGTGCTGTGCAGGGTGCTGTGCAGGGTGCTGTGCAGGGTGCTGTGCAGGGTGCTGTGCAGGGTGTTGTCCAGACTGCGGTGGCGAAGTCTGGCAAAGGTGCTGTGCAGGGTGCTGTGCAGGGTGCTGTGCAGGGTACTGTGCAGGGTACTGTGCAGGGTGCTGTGCAGGGTGCTGTGCACGCTGTCCAGACTGCGGTGGCGAAGTCTGGCAAAGGTGCTGTGCAGGGTGCTGTGCAGGGTGCTGTCAGACTGCTGGCGAAGTGGCGCGCTGTGAAAGGTGCTGTGCAGGGTGCTGTGCAGGGTGCTGTGCAGCGTGCTGTGCTTTGGTTCCCACGTTGGGAACCATCAGTTCCAACCTTTAGGAACTGGAAGTTCTTTGCAATGGTAACCTATGGTTCCCAGGTTGGGAAGCATGAGTTCCAACCTCTGGTAACCGGCAGTTGCTTGCAATGGTAACCCATGCTTCCCAGGTTGGGAACCAGGAGTTCCAACCGACTCTGGTAACCGGCAGTTCCTTGCAATGGTAACCTGTGGTTCCCACGTTGGCAACAGTGAGTTCCAACCTTTGGGAACCGGCAGTTCCTTGCCATGAACCAAACGCAAACATTCCGGTACCGGTCCATTAAGCAAAACAAAGCGTTCTTTACCGGTCCATTAAGCAAAACCATAAAATTGTAAAGAAACTGTTTTCATATTATTTTGACATGCGCCTTTTTCGTGCAAAAAAAATTATATGCCGGCCCAACAGCCAAACGCAAACATTCCGCTACCGGTCCATTAAGCAAAACAAAAGGTTCTGTTACCGGCTCAGTAAACAAAACAAAACAACATTAAGAACGATGAGTTCTAACTTTTTGCAATCAACAGATCCTTCCACTGGTAACGGATGCTTTTTCAGGTTTGGAACCATGAGTTTCAAGCTTTGGGAATCCGCAGTTCCTTACAATGATAGTTGCTTAGCTTCGAAAACATAAATTCTAACTTCTGGGAACCGGCAATTCCTTGCAATGGTAACCTCTGGTTCCCAGGTTGGGAACCGTAAGTTTCAAGGTCTGGGAACCGGCAGTTCCTTGCCATGGTAACCTTTGGTTCCCACGTTGGGAACCATCAGTTCCAACCTTGAGGAAACGGAAGTTCTTTTGCAATGGTAACCTATGGTTCCCAGGTTGGGAAGCATGAGTTCCAACCTCAGGGAACCGGCAGTTGCTTGCAATGGTAACCCAGGGTTCCCAGGTTGGGAACCAGGAGTTCCAACCTCTGGGAACCGGCAGTTCCTTGCCATGAACCAAACGCAAACATTCCGGTACCGGTCCATTAAGCAAAACAAAGCGTTCTTTACCGGTCCATTAAGCAAAACCATAAAATTGTAAAGAAACTGTTTTCATATCATTTTGACATGCACCTTTTTCGTGCAAAACCATTTTTTTGCCGGCCCAGCAGCCGAACGCAAACATTCCGCTACCGGTCCATTAAGCAAAACCAAAAGGTTCTGTTACCAGCTCAGTAAACAAAACAAAACAATATTAAGAACCATGATTTTTATCTTTTTGGAATCAACAGATCCTTCCACTGGTAACGTATGCTTTTTCAGGTTTGGAGCCATAAGTTTCAAGCTTTCGCAACCGGCAGTTCCTTACAATGATAGTTGCTTAGCTTCGAAAACATAAATTCTAACTTCTGGGAACCGGCAATTCCTTGCAATAGTAACCTCTGGTTCCCAGGTTGGGAACCGTAAGTTTCAAGGTCTGGGAACCGGCAGTTCCTTGCCATGGTAACCTTTGGTTCCCACGTTGGGAACCATCAGTTCCAACCTTTAGGAAACGGAAGTTCTTTGCAATGGTAACCTATGGTTCCCAGGCTGGGAAGTATGAGTTCCAACCTCTGGTAACCGGCAGTTGCTTGCAATGGTAACCCATGGTTCCAGGGTTGGGAACCAGGAGTTCCAACCTCTGGGAACCGGCGGTTCCTTGCAATGGTAACCTGTGGTTCCCACGTTGGCAACAGTGAGTTCCAACCTTTGGGAACCGGCAGTTCCTTGCCATGAACCAAACGCAAACATCCTTGCCATGGTAACCTTTGGTTCCCACGTTGGGAACCATCAGTTCCAACCTTTAGGAAACGGAAGTTCTTTGCAATGGTAACCTATGGTTCCCAGGCTGGGAAGTATGAGTTCCAACCTCTGGTAACCGGCAGTTGCTTGCAATGGTAACCCATGGTTCCAGGGTTGGGAACCAGGAGTTCCAACCTCTGGGAACCGGCGGTTCCTTGCAATGGTAACCTGTGGTTCCCACGTTGGCAACCGTGAGTTCCAACCTTTGGGAACCGGCAGTTCCTTGCCATGAACCAAACGCAAACATTCCGGTACCGGTCCATTAAGCAAAACAAAGCGTTCTGTACCGGTCCATTAAGCAAAACCATAAAATTGTAAAGAAACTGTTTTCATATTATTTTGACATGCACCTTTTTCGTGCAAAAAAAAATATATGCCAGCCCAACAGCCAAACCGGTCCATTAAGCAAAACAAAAGGTTCTGTTACCGGCTCAGTAAACAAAACAAAACAACATTAAGAACCATGAGTTCTAACTTTTTGCAATCAACAGGTCCTTCCACTGGTAACGTATGCTTTTTCAGGTTTGGAACCGTGAGTTTCAAGCTTTCGCAACCGGCAATTCCTTACAATGATAGTTGCTTAGCTTCGAAAACATAAGTTCTAACCTCTGGGAACCGGCAATTCCTTGCAATGGTAACCTCTGGTTCCCAGGTTGGGAACCGTAAGTATCAAGGTCTGGGAACCGGCAGTTCCTTGCCATGGTAACCTTTGGTTCCCACGTTGGGAACCATCAGTTCCAACCTTTAGGAAACGGAAGTTCTTTGCAATGGTAACCTATGGTTCCCAGGTTGGGAAGCATGAGTTCCAACCTCTGGTAACCGGCAGTTGCTTGCAATGGTAACCCATGGTTCCCAGGTTGGGAACCAGGAGTTCCAACCTCTGGGAACCGGCAGTTCCTTGCAATGGTAACCTGTGGTTCCCACGTTGGCAACCGTGAGTTCCAACCTTTGGGAACCGGCAGTTCCTTGCCATGAGCCAAACGCAAACATTCCGGTACCGGTCCATTAAGCAAAACAAAGCGTTCTGTACCGGTCCATTTAAGCAAAACCATAAAATTGTAAAGAAACTGTTTTCATATCATTTTGACATGCACCTTTTTCGTGCAAAAACATTTTTATGCCGGCCCAGCAGCCGAACGCAAACATTCCGCTACCGGTCCATTAAGCAAGACAAAAGGTTCTGTTACCGGCTCAGTAAACAAAACAAAACAACATTAAGAACCATGAGTTCTAACTTTTTGCAATCAACAGATCCTTCCACTGGTAACGTATGCTTTTTCAGGTTTGGAACCATGAGTTTCAAACTTTGGGAATCCGCAGTTCCTTACAATGATAGTTGCTTAGCTTCGAAAACATAAGTTCTAACTTCTGGGAACCGGCAATTCCTTGCAATGGTAACCTCTGGTTCCCAGGTTGGGAACCCTAAGTTTCAAGGTCTGGGAACCGGCAGTTCCTTGCCATGGTAACCTTTGGTTCCCACGTTGGGAACCATCAGTTCCAACCTTTTCTATCTGGGGTCTATGCCGGTGTAATTCCATTCTTATGACAAAATGAAGCGTCCATGCCAGGTGCATCAGATGATTCCACATTTCAGCTTTCGGATGGCTCTTGGGTGCAGTTCAAGGACATTGACTGAAGACTTTATTACCCGCTTGACATGAATGGCCTCTGAGCTACGAATGCTTGGCATGTTTTGGTTTTGAGGGCTTCCAAACAAGCTTGTTTTGGTTCAGTCCAGCCCGCTGGCTCCTCAGCTGAAGTCTATCTTGTCCTGCGTGACAAGAGAAGCAGAACTTACATCCAAACCGGGGGAGCAATGGCTCGAGTCTATCTATGTGTAGGCTAGGCATATTACGTACTGAGACACAACTGTCATTGATTCCTACTTCAAGTGAAAACCATAGAGATCATAGAGCACATGTTGAATTGTAAATTGCAACTTACTAGTTTGGCAAAGAATGCGTCCTTTTTTGGCCACACCGAGTACGGAGGATTTGCCAGATGTTCAACTTCCGGAGCTGCTTGTTCTGAATTTGGCTCCTCGTTCTTGCAGGGTAAGTATAGAACATATATAGTTATAGAACAAACTTTAAAAAAAATGCGGACGCCACAGATTTAACAAGCTGGAGCCTCACACTCGTTGATGGGCGAAAGCAAACACTGATTGAGAGCCCATCTGTACTGGTAGGATTCAGCGTCATTCGGGAATGCGGGTATGACAGGATTGGTGTGTCCACTGCAATGTTTGAGGCTTGATACCATTCAACCAGATGAGGTTGCTCCTCGGCATAAGCGGAAGCTCACGACAAGTGTGAAAGACTCTTGGAATTCCAGTGTACTCATGTGATTCCCTGACAGCTTGAAGAAGGTCAGACTTTCTAGTGACCTAGGGTTGACTGCCCAGCACTTGTCTTCCGTATATATCCTAAAGTGCCCATATGCAGTGCGCCAAAATGTGGTTATAGTGTCCGGAGTGAGCGGGGAGATAAGACATGCAATTAGTCCTTTCCCGTCCTTTTGATTTGCGATTTGAGACGCTTTCAACCAGCAAATTAAGCAAAAGGTTTTGCGTCGGCTTCGAGAAGTACGACCAGGCAAGGAGGGTGTGCTCTTGCAGGGTCTCTAAATAGAACAAGTCGAGAAAGGACGTAAAGGTTGTTTTGCATGACTGAGACTGCAAACTTGGCTTCGGACCTCTTGTTGGTTCTGTTTGTGACAGATTCGGGTGGGCTGTGAGACTCCGTGAGACTCAAATCAGTTGCAAGATTGCTTCGCCAAGATACATTGCAGCATTTAGCTTGCCCTGATCAGGCATCGCAGCGTACCTGGAGTCCGAAGGTGTGAATCTTGCTCTAGAGACCCAGCAAAAGCAAATGGGAAGTGTCGGAAGTGACAATGACACCCAAATTCATTAGTTGAACCTGTCAAAAGCAGGTTGGATCTGGCGTAGCTCCATTTCTCTTTCGCAGCATGATTTCGGGCACCAAAATCTCCCGCATTCACAAAACAGGTATAAAACTTATAAAACCGATATTGGTGACTATGTTTAAAGTTGGAGAACACCTTCACTTGAACTACAGGTGACCCAGACCTTTCTGCAGCACTACGCTATGTGGAGGTGCTGAAAAAAGGAAACATTCTTAAGAGACCTGTACCACTACCGAGATACGATGATATGCCTATTGTATCTAGGGACAGCCTCGACCATGTCCAGGTGCCTACATCTCCAGATAGGCGACCGGCTTGGACGATAATTGATTGAAGGATGGGAGGGAGGCCTTGAAAGTCGTAAAATGTTGTGACAATCAGTTCACACACACATATATATAGTCTAGATGCGGTGTGCTCGCTTTCAGTCATCCTGTTGCCCACGCGCCAGACTTATAACAAGATTTTATGATAAATATATTTAATACTTGAAGAATATGGTGTAAATAATACCCATACTATTCACTGTAAAGACCCCTTCTGAACATGGTTGTTTACTTGTTTGGCTCAAGATGAAAACAGACCGCAGCCGCTGCCCAGGGCGCACGTGCGGTTTGTAAGGGTTGGTTTTAGTCACCCCCTTTTTGTGAACTTGGTTGTTTTCAGGCGTTTTATCTGATTATCAGCCGTATTGGCTTTGTGATTGGTAATCTTTTGGGGGAAACATTTTATTAGGGTTTGGGGTCCCTGCCAAAACCCCACTCGGATGAGCGACCGTTCGCGGACACCACCTCCTCGCCGTGGGATTCGTAGTGGTGCTTCTGCGCGTCGCAAGCGACTGGCGTGGGTGAACTGGAACCTTTCGCAAGACAGGAATGGCTTCAAGTTGATCCACAACTGAGAAAGATCCTGCGAGATCTACATGTGAACTTTGGGCACCCCACAAGCTCAACTATGCAGAGAATCTTGTGGCGAGAGAACGCCAGACCAGAAGCAATCCGAGCTGCTGGACTGATGAGCTGTGATGCTTGCGGCGAGAGCATTTGTCGTCGGCGTCCAAAGCCTGTTCGGCTGCCCAACCGCTATGAGTTCAACCGGCACATTTTGGCCGACACCATGTTCGCCAAGGACGCTGCTGGAGTCACCTATGGCTTCCTGAATGTGATCGACGACGCGACTGGGTTTCAAATGGTCAGTTGTCTGGGAGAGCTCAAAGGCGTTGCTGCTGCCCAAGTCATCTTGCGACATTTCGCTGCAAGTTGGAGCTCCTGGGCTGGACTTCCAACACTGATGCAAGTTGATCGAGGCAAAGGATACCTTGCCGAGTTTGCCAACTACCTTTGCCAATTTGGCGTGGAACAAGAGGTGATGCCATTGGAAGCACCCTGGAAAGGTGGAAAGTGTGAGAAAGCAGGTGGGCTTTGGAAGGACCTCTTCTACAGGATTCCCAGATTCAAGGTCTCAACGACGTGATCCTGGCCACCAGCATTGTCACCCAAACTCGAAAGGAGGTTCAATGGCTACAGTCCCATGCAATGGGTACTTGGAGTTGGTGATCTCAAACTTCCTGGTTCTCTGCTTGATGGAGGCAGTGACCCCAACTTGGAAGTCATGGAAGCCTCAATGAAGCACAGAGTGAGATGGCTCGAACACTTGCTGTGCGCGAGTCTGCCAGAGTTGCCCAGATCCGACTTGACACGGATTCACGGGTGAGGAGAGCTTTGCTGAAACCATCAATTCCCACCCGTGGGCCATATACCCAGTTGGAGCCTATGTCTACTTCCTCAAAGCTCAAAGGCCACAAGATGACCAACGAAACTACAGATGGTTTGGGCCTGCACGGGTCATTTGGAGTCGAACTCCGAAACCCAGACGATGACCCTGCAACTGATGGTGGGCAACCTCACTCCTACTGGCTAAGGTATGGACCTTCAGTGATTCTGGCGACTGGCGAGCAACTTCGTCTTGCAAGTGAGGATGAACTCAGGATGAACTGCTGGCAGCTCATGCCGCACTATGCTGTTCAACCAGATCAAGTTCGAGGAGCCCGACAATACTTGGATGTGAGGTCTCATACACGACCATTTGGAGAGATGCCTCATAATGGACTTGCTGATGCGCCTCTTCCTGACATCCAAGAAGGTGATGAAACAGATGTCATCATGGACTTGCCTGCTGGTCCTGGTCAGCATTAACCAATTGCGGGATCAGCTGGTGCTGCGGCTCAACAGCTACCTCAACTTGAACGAGCTCATGCCCAACCTGCTCAAGTACAACAATCACCAAGTGCGTCGTATCGGCGCCAAGTGACTGAACCAGAGCATGCACTTGAACCAACACCACCAACACCAAAAGCAACAATCATTCACGATCAACAAGCAACCTCAACAACACCTGAGAGCATGCGAGGCCAACAGGCACTCCCCTCTGCTCTACCTTCTCATCTACAACAACAACCTGATTCAGTGCCACTGGACTTTCAGCAACCTCCACCAACATCAACAACAACACTGAACACAGCTATGAACAATCCTGATCGGCTTGATGGGCTGGGTCCAACAAGAACTACAAGACACATTTGTCGCAGTTCTGTTCCGGGTCCCTACCTGGCCGAAGAGGACATCATCCCTGAGAAGACCTATGGCATGATTGAAGATGGCGACTGGCAAGTCATCTGCCCTGGAATGGAAGAATCCATCCGACGCCTTCGACTACAAAGAGCTTCTCTCTGAGTCTGAGGTGGATGAGTTCGACAACTACATCCAGACTGATGCCAATCTTGCTGAAGCCTTTCTGACTGGCAGGGCTGCGAGATCAGAGATCAACCTGAAAGATCTCAACCCTAGTGAAAGGAAACTGTTTGACCAAGGCATGGCCAAAGAATGGAACTCATGGCTGTGGAAGTGCTCACCGAGCAGCAGATAGCTACACTACCTCAAGATGCTGAATTGATTGGAACTCGGTGGGTCCACGCCGGCAAGAATCGCAAGACAAGAACAAAGAAGACAATCGATCAAGAGCACCCACTGGCTGCGAAGTCTCGCATCGTGGTCCAAGGAAACCAAGAACGAAACAGTGAGATTCGATCTGATTCGCCTACGGCATCACTCCTGGCCTTCAACCTCGTCTGCGCTGTTGCTGTGATGAATGAATAGCTGGTGAAAGCATATGATGCTTCAACAGCATACCTCCAAGCCAAGGGCATCGCAAGACTGTTGATCCTGCGGCCCAAGGCCACCACCTCCTGGGATCAGTGTGCGTGATCTCTTCCGAGCCAAAGGCAGTATCCACGGCACCAAAGATGCTAGCCGTTCATGGTGGATCAAGCAGATCAATGATGCCAAGGCTGAGGGTTGGATCCTTCGAAAATCGAAGCTGCGGTTTTCTTTCTCTGTGAGGACGGAGTCTTGGTGGGCATCATGGCAACCCACGTGGACGACCTTTTCGTCTCTGGCAGCGGCTCCAAGTTTGAGAACGCTATAAAAGTTCTGACTGAGAAGCTGCACCTGAAGGAGAACCTTAAGTCTTGTGGAAAGAATGGGAAGCAAGCTGAAGATGAAACCATCACCCTGGAGCAGAAGGAAATGATCGAAGTGCCGGAGTACCAGGTGATTTCCAAAGATCGGCGCACCAAGCCGAACCTGCCACTCACTGAGGCTGAGAAAACTCAGTTTCGAGGCCTTGTTGGGTCAATGGGCTGGATTACTCGCCAAACCCGGCCTGATGTTTTGGTGAATGTGAGCATGGCTGCTCAATTGATGGGAAAGCGAACGGTGAGAGGCGTGCTGGATTTGAACAAGGGCGTCAAGATGCTCAAAGAATCCAGTGATGCAGTTTGGTCCTTTCGACTCTCCGAGATCAATCTGACCGACTTCGTGGTCTTCACCTGTGCTGACACATCAATGGTTTAAAATCCGATGTGGGTACATCGTAGGTCTAAGCCTCGACTCGCTACCTCGAGGAGGCCCCGCACCAGTGCTGATTTTAGAAACAAATTCGAGCTCGTTCAAAAGAGTCTGCCGCTCAACACTGGCTGCAGAATCAAACGCAGTGCTGATGGGAACTGAAGCTGCTGACTATGTTCGGTCAACCCTGGCGTGAAAGTGAGGAATTTGGAAAGTGAGTTCGGGAAGCGACCTCTCCTAGCCTTCGCAGATGCCAAGAGCCTTGAGGCCACCGTCACCAAGGACGCTGGTCAGCTCTCAGACAAGAGGGTGAAGATCCTCGTCTCCCAGATCAAGGAGATCCTGAACGAGGGCATAGCCCCGAAGAAGGTTCGACCTCAATTCACTGGCGCGACACGTCGCAAATGGCTGCCGATGTGTTGACAAAGCTGGGATGCGAAAGGGAACTTCTGCTGGACATACTGTCCACTGGGCGCTGGCAACTGGAGCCGACCGAAGTCGCAAAGGCAAGGAAAAAGAAGATTCGAAACGATAGACAGCTGCGAAAGTACAGTGCCAAAGCCAAGGCTGCGGGTAAGGACGGGTGAAAAATGTCACCATTTGTGCATGCATCCACCCTGCACCTTTGGCCTGTCCGCCATAACCCTTTACTGCCCGAGGGCGCCCTTTGAGAGGAAAACAGGTACCTCGCTCCAGCTTCGCCTGCTGCTGGATTTTGATATATTATATTATATTGTATAAATGCTTGTTGTATGAATCTACAAGGAAATGTGGCAGCATGGGTTTCTTGTATTCTCTGCTGTGTCGTGGTGGCATCTGAGCGCTTTCAGCTTCAGCATGTCCTCATTGCCAAGTACTTCATGCATCCAAAGCTCCAGAATTTCGGATGCTCATTCGAAAGGGTGAGGCGTTCGCTTGTGCCGCTTTTTTTTGCATCGCTTGTGCCGCTTTTTTTTTGTGTCGCTTGTGCCGCTTTTTTGGTTGGTATCGGCATTTTTCCTGTAAATTACCGTATAAAATGGTGTTTTCACGTGTTGCTTTTTTGACGTCGCTTGTGCCGCTTTTTTCTTGGCGTCGGGTTTTGACCTGTAAATTTGCGTACTTAGTGGCGCTTTTGTGCGTGTTGTTTTTGATGTCGTTTGTGCGGCTTTGTAGTGGCATCGGTATTTTACCTGTAAATTTCCGTATAAAAGTGGCGCTTGTGTCGCGGCTCTTCTTCCATCAAGTGCAACAACATATAAATCCTAATGGGGTCGTGGCTCTTCTTATATCAAGTGCAACAACATATAAACCCTAAAAGGGTCGTGGCTCTTCTTACATCAAGTGCAACAAGATATAAACCCTAAAGGGGTCGTGGCTCTTCTTCCATCAAGTGCAACAAGATATAAACCCTAAAGGGGTCGTGGCTCTTCCTACATCAAGTGCAACAACATATAAACCCTAAAGGTGTCGTGTCTCTTCCTACATCAAGTGCAACAACATATAAACCCTAAAGGGGTCGTGGCTCTTCTTACATCTAGTGCAACAACATATAAACCCTAAAGGTGTCGTGGCTCTTCTTACATCAAGTGCAACAACATATAAACCCTAAAGGGGTCGTGGCTCTTCTTGCACCAAGTGCAACAACTTAAAAACCCTAAAGGGGTCGTGGCTCGTCTTACATCAAGTGCAACAACATATAAACCCTAAAGGGGTCGTGGCTCTTCTTACATCAAGTGCAACAAGATATAAACCCTAAAGGGGTCGTGGCTCTTCTTCCATCAAGTGCAACAACATATAAATCCTAATGGGGTCGTGGCTCTTCTTATATCAAGTGCAACAACATATAAACCGTAAAAGGGTCGTGGCCTTCTTACATCAAGCGCAACAACATATAAACCCTAAAGGGGTCGTGGCTCTTCTTCATCAAGTGCAACAACAAATAAAACCCTAAAGGTGTCGTGTCTCTTCCTACATCAAGTGCAACAACATATAAACCCTAAAGGGGTCGTGGCTCTTCTTACATCAAGTGCAACAACATATAAACCCTAAAGGGGTCGTGGCTCTTCTTACATCAAGTTCAACAACATATAAACCCTAAAGGGGTCGTGGCTCTTCTTACATCAAGTGCAACAACATATAAACCCTAAAGGGGTCGTGGCTCGTCTTACATCAAGTTCAACGACATATAAACCCTAAATCAGTCGTGGCTCGTCTTACCTCAAGTGCAACAACATATAAACCCTAAAGGGGTCGTGTCTCTTCCTACATCAAGTGCAACAACATATAAACCCTAAAGGTGTCGTGTCTCTTCCTACATCAAGTGCAACAACATATAAACCCTAAAGGGGTCGTGGCTCTTCTTACATCTAGTGCAACAACATATAAACCCTAAAGGTGTCGTGGCTCTTCTTACATCAAGTGCAACAACATATAAACCCTAAAGGGGTCGTGGCTCTTCTTGCACCAAGTGCAACAACTTAAAAACCCTAAAGGGGTCGTGGCTCGTCTTACATCAAGTTCAACAACATATAAACCCTAAAGGAGTCGTGGCTCGTTCAACAACATATAAACCCTAAAGGTGTCTTGGCTCTTTGTTTGCAACGCGTGACAGGGTAATTTCCTGGTAATTTGCGATGAAATGCACGCCTGACATTCCAGGATCGTTTTGTTGCATTTCGTGGTAGCGTAATTTCGTGGAAATTTACAGGTAATCAGAGGTTTTTCGTCGCAAGTGATGTCGAAAATGTGTGGGGGTCATTTTCGGCGTAAGTGACCTTAAAAATTTCGTCCTAAGTGAACGTGGGACCATTCGAAAGCATAGAAAGGCTGCCAAACATCTGAAGATTTCAAAAGAAACCTAGTCAAACCTAGGGAATGATCTCAAAGACTTCAAACTCAAAGCAGATCCTCTCACCAGATGAGTCAGATGGGTCGAGCATGTCCGAAACCTGGCTTCCAAGGTCCAGCAGAAATCAGACAGGCGCGCCGGAATCTCATGTCTTGGGATTAGTCCACACCGCTGGACGTACCTACCTCGACCTACATGCTTTGCTTTCAACCTGACCTTGTCCACTCAAATTGGGTATGAAAACATTGTATTATATATTTTGATTTCATTTGTATTCATGGACACATGCCAGGAGCCACCAGCAGACGTCGACGAATTCCGAACCGGTGCAGATGTGGATTTAGCTGCGGTACCAAGGTGCGTAATTCTCAGGGTTCAGGGCAAGCTTAAGCAAGTTTTACACTTTGAACTGCGGATGTGGACCACAAACATTCTTTCTGAATGTATGCTGGTGCACGAACCCAGTCATCTAGGCTGCTCTAGAGCGCCATTTTCTTCACTACGCCCACGAGCCCGGCTTTCACAAGCCGCTGTGATTGTTGACATCACAAGAAGGACAGAACATTGTCTTGATGCCCCAATCAGACATTTGATTTCCTGACATGTATATGTAAACCAGTAGTCCCGCACAAGGCGGTGGCGGAAGTTCCAAAAATAGGACACTATAGGAGAGGTGAGTTGTTGTGATGCGTGGATGATGAACCGAAAGGTGGCCGGAGCCTGTGTTTTTTGGAGTGGTTGCAATGGTTGCGTTGGTCACCTCACCCAGAACTGCTGGATGTAGTGTGGCGTAGTGCAGCTGTAGTTGTAGTTGTAGTGTAGTGGAGCTGTAGTTGTAGTGTAGTGTGATTAGTGGAGTGTTGTTGCAGTTGTATGTGGTGTGGTGTAATGAGTGTAGCGTAATACAATGTAGTGTAGTGTAGTGTAGCGTAGCGTAGTGTAGTGTAGTGCAATGCAATTAGTAAAGTGTAGTGTAATGTAGTGTAGCTATAGTTGTAATTGTAGCTGTAGCTGTAGTTGTAGTAGACATGGTACTTGTAGTTGTAGTTATAGTTGTCGTGTAATTAGCGTAGTGTACTGTAATTCGTGTAGTGTAGTGTAATTAGCCTAGTGTAGTGTAATTAGCGTACTGTAGCGTAGTAAATTTGTACTTGTAGTTGTAGTTGTAGTTACAGTTGCAGTTGTCTATCTACCTATCTGTCTATCTATCTACCTATCTATCTAATCAATCTATCAATCTATCTATGTATCTACCTACCTACCTATCTATCTATCTATCTACCTATCTACCGATCTACCTATCTATCTATCTACCTATCTATCTATCTATCTACCTAATCTAATCTAATCTAACCTAATCTAATCTAATCTAATCTATCTATGTATCTATGTATCTATCTATCTATCTATCTATCCATCTACGCATCTATCTGTCGATCTATCTATCTATCCATCTATCCATCCATCCGTCTATCCACCTATCCATCTATCTATCTATCTACCTATCTATCTATCTATCTATCTATCTATCTACCGAATCTATCAATCTATCTATGTATCTATGTATCTATCTATCTATCTATTCTATTCTGTTCTGTTCTGTTCTATTCTATTCTGTTCTGTTCTGTTCTGTTCTATTCTATTCTGTTCTATTCTGTTCTGTTCTGTTCTGTTCTGTTCTATTCTATTCTATTCTATCTATTCTATCTATTCTATCTATTCTATCTACCTATCTATCTATCTATCTCTCTCTCTCTCTATCTATCTATCCATCTATCCATCTATCCATCTATCCATCTATCCATCTATCCATCTATCCATCTATCCATCTATCCATCTATCCATTCATCCATCTATCCATCTACCTATCTATTTATCTATCCATCCATCCATCTATCTACCTATCTACCTATCCACCTATCTACCTATCTACCTATCTACCTATCTACCTATCTACCTATCAATCTATCAATCTATCAATCTATCCAGCAATCTATCTATCAATCAATCAATCAATCTATCTATCTACCTGTCTATCTGCAAGCACGAAAACAAGGCAGTTCTGCGAGACTTCCTCAAGTTTTGAACTTGACAACGTCAAAAACGGAGCCACTCCGCGAGACGTCTTCAAGTTTTGAAGTTGGCAACCTCAAGATCGAAGCAAGTCTGCGAGTGCAGAGCTGAAGCCTCGTGCCTTCGCGTTTTGCGATTTTTCCAGCTCATGTCTCTAACGTATTGCACCTGTGTGGCACCTTTCACGCAAAATCATCTTAGCAAACCTGAAGATCTGATGCTCCAAATTGCAAACCCTCTCGGGAAGTCAGCGCCCTGACCTGCTAACATCTCTGATGAACATGTCTCTTGTATTGCGCCTGCCACGCGGATGCATTTTTCCAGAGCCTCTTCAAATGTCCGACGCCTGCCAACGTTTTTGAAACTGCTGCAAAACCATCACGTTTTTTGCTCACTTTTGGCAAAGTGCAGAATCCCTTGTGCCTGCCACGCAAAACCGCATCCGAACCTTGAAAGGTGGTTCAAGCATGCGGTGTTTTTTTAACATTTTGACTTGGAAATGTGCTTCGCGCGACAACGGCGTGCACTTTTTCGACATCGCAACTTCCAAAGGTGCTCCGGGCATGGTGTGTTTTGTACATTTTGACTTTGAAATGTTCTTCGCACCATAGGGGCGTGCCGTTTTTCATCTCTTATCTGGCCAGATGGCTCCGCACCCGCCGCTTTAGCGAGCCTACTTTTCGACCCTCCGGAGCCACAAATCCGTGGAAAAACATGGTGAATCGAGACTTTTCTACCTTTTCGCGCACCTGCATATTCTTTCCTCTGATTCTCTTCTCTTCTCTGACTCTTCCCACCTCTGCTTTTCCATCTGTCCATATTGTCGGAAGTTTGACTTCTAAACTTCCTGCGCTAACACACACATATATAAATATATATTTACATACATACATACATACATACATACATACATACATACATACATACATACATACATACATACATACATACACACATACATACATACATACATACATACATACATACATACATACACACATACACACATACATACATACATACATACATACATACATACACACATTATAATGGGCTTCAAGCATTGTCACCCTGGCGAACTCTTTGCATGTCTTGAAGATCGTCACTCATTATCTATCGCAAGTATTTACCAACCTGCCCAGTGGAGTCTGTTTTGCTGGTATCGCTTCGCGACGACAACCGCCCGCACCGGAGGGTTAGCTCTGTAGTTCCAAGAAAATTCTTTGTTGGGCCTTTGTAGGGTCAAGTTGGTGGCTCTATGTTGGGCTGTGTTAAGCCCGTGTTAAGCCATGTTGGGCCTATGTTGCGCACATGTTGGGCCTGTATTGGGCCTATGTTGAGGCATGTTGGGCCATGCTGGGCCTATGTTGGGCCCATGTTGGGCGTAGGTTGGGCCATGTTGCGCCCAAGTTTGCCAACTGAGCCGATTTTAGGTCCCTTTAACAAACGTGGAAAAACAGAGGATTCTAGAACAATAAAGGCCGCTGCTGCAGCCCCCCATCCTTGCACACAAAAAACGCGTCGGCACTTTCGGCGCGGGCGGATTTTCTTTCAATTTGTATGTCACAAATTTGTTTGGATGTGTTACGGCGGACGGTTGAAGTCCAAATTGGGAGGGAGATAGCCGCTGACAGCCAACCCCGGGGAGTTCCATGCTTTAGGATTTAGACATCGTTGGGTACTGCTAGCGTGGTGCCTTTTTCTATTGAGTTCGGGTTCTGCTTTCGAATTCTTTGCATGCTTGCAGGACACTTTGGTAGTTGTCGCCTCCAAAGACGAGGGTTACAAAACCAGCCCTTTGCGTGAATTTGCACGATGATAACATTCAAAAAACTGATGTGGATCTTTGACATGCTGTGACCCGTTTTTCTTTAAAAGTATGTCTTGCACGCTGCACACTTTTGGCTCTCAGAGACCCCAAAAGACGTTCATTTCTCCCAGTCCCTTGGTTGAAAGCCTCACTGGGACAAACCATGAAGACGGTGAAGATGGTGACGGTACGCTTGTAATCAGGATTGTCCTTGAATGTCCTGGAATATTTTCATTCGATATACAGTATGTCTATAGTCAATGCGCTTGACAGTTTGCTCTCGACAGCTTTGCATTCAGCTGAGGTCCTGAAATGGCAACGAATGGCTAGAAACCTAGAGGACAGCTGCGATCATCATGAGACACAATGCATGGCTTCAGAAAACGAGAAACTAGGTCCAGAATCAATCAGAAGGAGCCCAATCTCGGATGCACAAACGTCAAAACATACATTGCATTTCTTACACCAGTTCACGCAATTTTCTCTTTGTAGGTTCTGCTGCATGATGCACACTGGGAGACATGCATGCATTAGTATATTTTATTGACTCCGTAGCCTATCATCTCTACAGTTTCTTGGCCTCTAACTCCTGCGCAGAGTGTGGGCTGAGGCATGAACGGCTACGATCTGCCGTTTGGTACCACCAACAGGGGAAGGGTCACCCACCCACACACACACAATTCTGTGTTTTTTTCTCATAAGTAAGCCTGGAAGTCTACCATCAGGTTTGCTACTGACAAGGGGATCTAGATCCCCCCCCAAAAAAATCAAAAAACATATTATTACTAGGATGAACAATTCTTGGAATCAAGAGAAAGAAAGAAAGAAGGAAGGGAGGAAGGAAGGAAAGAAAGAAAGAAAAAACGAAAAAAAAGCGAAAGAAAAAAACACAAATCTGCTTTTCTGCTTCCTTTCTTTACTGCCTCTTTGTTTTTCTGTTTCTTTTGCTGTATTCTCTCCTGTTGGTATACTTCTTTTCCCCTAAAGAAACCCTAAAGAAACCTTAAATCAAACCCTCTAAATGAAACCCTAAATGAAATCCTACATGAAATCCTAAATGATACCTGTAATGAAAATCGAATGAAACCCTACATGAAACCCAAATGAAATTCTAAATGACACCGCAAATGAAACCCTAAATGAAACCCTACATGAAATCCTCAAAGAAACCCTAAAAATCCTGCCCTAAATGAGACTCGGTGAACATACGAAAATCTAGAAAATACCATGCACGATTACTACTACTAATACTACTACTACTACTACTGCTTCTTCTTCTTTTTCTTCTTCTCTTATGATTGGATAATATATATATTTACATACATTATACATATGTATATATATATATGTATATATACATATATACATATATATATATATTAAAAATGTTGATCTACAGATAATAGTATTTTTGATCCTAATAATATTTTTTTTGATCCGTTACCCGTTGACAAGTCCCACCAGCAGTTGCATTACCGTGAACTGAAGTTTGAAGTTCGTTCATTGTAATGCCAACATAGTCAGCTTTGTCACGCCAAATTGGTTCAAATTTTGCACCAGAGTTGCCTTCGCCAGACTCTCCTTCTCTCAGCCCCAAGCCCAAGGTCCGAACCACATGTAATGGTTAAGGCATGTTGAGACAGTTTTTCAAAGGCCAAATTTCCAAACATCAAGTTGATATATGTCGATATCTTGTCCTAGCTTGTACTTATACCATCTTGTGTCACCAGACTTTTCTTGACGCACCTCGTTCAAAGCCATGGTTGCTCAGTGGTGGGAGTTGGTTGTGGAGGTCGCAGTTCCGATCGGCTGTATCTTTTCAAGTGTAAGCTAGAAGCAGACCGCATCGTCAACATTCATAGCTGCCAAAGATTTCCGAAAAGACTGCCTCGTTGTGGCGCTTCTCATCTTTGTTGGAAAGTGTTGCAAAAAGTCTTGATAATATATGTCCCTGCAAGGGATTAGGTTTTGCAAGTAATTCAGTACTTCCCTTGCCCTTTGACTGCAAGAAATCTCCAGGTATGTGTTGGGCAGCAACTTGTGACACGTCGAACTGTCAAAGTTAGGGCTTTCAGATCCTCATTGTGAGGCTGCTTGTGGCAAAGAAGTGCTACCAAATATGATTCAGGCAAGTTTGCATCAGCACATTGAGATAGCCGCTATAGCCATTCTGAGTGTTCCCTTTGGCTTTCCAAGTTTTGAGATGCCAGCACTCATGTGGTAGTTTGTGGAACGTATTGCATATTTTGCCCTCGAGTGACAAGGCTGAGATTGAGCAAGCAGAGAAAGCCAAAATTGCTGCTGCAGAGAGGAAAAGGTGCACGTGGCTAACAAGCATGGCAAACATGAAATCAAACATAGGAAACCAAAAGAATCGACGATTCAAAGAAGGAGCTCGCACAAATCTGAAGAGCTTGCCGTCTTGGGAGGCTGGCAGATGATTTTGATCAGCAGCACCGTGAAGCCAAGAAAGAGTGGACGGCTGCAAGAGAGGCGTCTCGGTGACCCAATCGGGGTGACCCAATCTGGTACTCAGTGTGATGAAGCTGAAATCCGAGTAATTTCACCACCTCATACTTTACATTGCTGCCATCAGTAATTTGACAAGTATTCAAAGACCTGCCAGACTGCCCAGACTTGCTAGTGGCAGGTCTATGGGTGGGATCATTCAAAAACGCAGCTTGCCGCTTTGCGCTTGGCTGAGCTGGAGGAGAGAAACATGACAATGTGACTGAGACTGAGACTCGTGAAGCAGAAGTTCTCTAAACATTATGGTTTGACGATGTTTGATGGCATCCACAGTAAGTTGCTGGTGGCCTGAGCAAAGCCGCTGAATTCAGTGTCTTTTGGCCTTGCTAACAATCCAGTTGATGTACCTTCCAACACGATATTTTAATCCCCTCTCCCGCAGAAGCCCGGCATGGCCCAATGGCTACTGGAAAGAGCTCTGCCGGGACTGGAGGCAGTTTTTGCAGAGTCGACTCAAAAGACTCCATCGACTTGAGCAAGACAAGTTATAAAAGACAAGCAAACTAAGCAAACTATAAGCAATTCTGCGAAACGTCCATTCCGAAGATATTCCTATTTCAGACAAAAAGGGGACGCCAATTTCCTCACTTACTCTGACTTCGACCTCATGTATGATCGTAACGATCGTAAGATACCTTATTTATTTGTCCAAGCCGGACTGCTCTATGCAAGCATGCATTGCATCGCTCTTGAAAATTAGCAACGCATCCAATCTATGCAGAATCAAGGCTAGATGTCCGAATTGCCTGCATGATGCATTACAGTCATGTCCATGGATGTTGTCACAGGGAGGAGTCTCAGTGGATATGCAATAGACGGTGTTTTATTTAGCCACTAAAGCCTAATTGCTGCGTATTTATACTGTCAAGCATCCAGTGTGATGCGCAGCAAATCTGGGGAGAAACATCAAAAAAAATAAAAATGCATCAAACAAAAAATGCATCAAAAAAATATAAATGCATCAAAAAAAAATAAATGACCATGAAGAAAGGAGGGAAGGAGGAAAGGAGGGAAGGAGGAAAGGAGGGAAGGAAGGAAGGAGGGAAGGAGGGAAGGAAGGAAGGAAGGAGGGAAGGAGGGAAGGAAGGAAGGAAGGAAGGAAGGAGGGAAGGAGGGAAGTCGGAAAGGAGGGAAGGAGGGAAGGAGGGAAGGAGGAAAGGAGAAAAGGACGGAAGGAAGGAAGGAAGGAAGGCAGGCAGGCAGGCAGACAGGCATGCATGCAGGCAGGCAGGCAGGAAGGAAGGAAGGAAGGAAGGAAGAAAGGAAATAAGGAGGGAAGGAGGAAAGGAGGGAAGGACGAAAGGAAGGAAGGAAGAAAGGAGGGAAGGAGGAAAGGAGGGAAGGAGGAAACGAGGGAAGGAAGGAAGGAGGGAAGGAGGGAAGGAAGGAAGGAAGGAGGGAAGGAGGAAAGGAGGGAAGGAGGAAAGGAGGGAAGGAGGAAAGGAGGGAAGGAGGGAAGGATGCAAGGGGGGAACGAAGGGAAGGAAGGAAGGAAGGAAAGAAGGAAGGAAGGAAAGAAGGAAAGGAGGACCATGTGTGCAGTCAACACTTTGGGCTGCAGCCCACACGGGCAGCGTGCAAAGTGCTGCTGAGCTGCTAGAGCTGAGGGGTTTCCAAAACTTTTTTCCCGCTTTTATTTTTTAACCGGCTCCCCTTGCTACCTACTCTGGTTCCTTTTTTTTCATAAGCACCATCGTTTATTTGGCTTCATTTTATCTTTATTGATGTCCATATAGACTTGTGCCTATGTACTTCTTTCATGTTCTTTTTTGGTACGCATTGCCGGGGACCACCCCACCCGCTTTTGTTTTTTCATCGGCTTCCCTTGCTACCTACTCTCTTGCTTTTTGTTCATAAGCATCGTTTCTTAGGGTTCATTTTCTCTTTCTTCTTCTTTCAAAATATCCATCGAGACTTGTGCCTATGTGCTTCTTTCTTGATCTTCTCGTTCTTACTTGCAATATATCCATTGAGACTTGTGCCTATGTGCTTCTCTCTTGGTACGCATTGCGGGGGGAGGCGCTGCGCCCTCCCCCCTGCACCCCCCCACCCGCTTTTATTTTTAAACCGGTTCCCCTTGCTACCTACTATTCCTTTCTTTTTGCATAAGCATCATCGTTTATTTGGGTTAATTTCATCTTTGTTGATATCCATCGAGACTTGTGCCTATGTGCTTCTTTCTTGATCTTCTCGTTCTTACTTGCAATATATCCATTGAGACTTGTGCCTATGTGCTTCTCGCTTGGTACGCATTGCGGGGGGAGGCGCTGCGCCCTCCCCGCTGCACCCCCCCACCCGCTTTTTTTTTTTAACCGGTTCCCCTTGCTACCTACTATTCCTTTCTTTTTGCATAAGCATCATCGTTTATTTGGGTGAATTTCATCTTTGTTGATATCCATCGAGACTTGTGCCTATGTGCTTCTTTCTTGATCTTCTCGTTCTTACTTGCAATATATCCATTGAGACTTGTGCCTATGTGCTTCTCTCTT